TGACCTCCCCTTACCCAAGGGGCGCCAGCGGGGCCCCCAATTCCGCGGCGAATTTTTTCCCACAAACAAACACCGACCATTCCAGATCAACCAAAGCCCTTTTTTCCCCCCCCCCCCCTAGAAGGGGGCGGCCCCTCCCACCGCCTCTCGCCGCGCTCGGGGAGCAGCCGCTCTCGCGCCCTCGCCTTTTCCCAGCAACCAGTCTCTGGACCACCCACCCACACCCACCCACCCTCACACACACACACATCTTTTTCTCTCTCTCGTACCTCAGGTACGTCCTCTTCCTAGACACTTCCTAGACACTTCCTAGACACTTCCTCCCGTACCTTCAGGTACGGCGCTGTCGTGCGGGGCGACCAGAGCCCGGTCGACATCGGCGGCAAGAGTAGCATCGGAGACCGCAGCGTCGTCCTCTCCGCCTCAGTCAACCCCACCGGCTTTGCAGCAAAGACGTCCATCGGCGATTGGGTGACCGTCGGGCAGGCGTGCTCACTCGCTCAGCGCGCACCGGGGCAACCCCCCCCCCCCCACGCCCACGCCCACGCCCACGCCCACGCCCACGCCCACGCCCACGCCCACGCCCACGCCCCCATAAGAGAGAGAGCATAGAGAGAACAGCGTTGCTTGCCGGGGCGCGTGGCAAGAGTGAGTGGTCGGCATGAGGAGCCAGCGTCTGCGTGTCTCTGCAGGGGTGCGTGCTGCGCGGTTGCACAGTCGACAACTTTGCGGTGGTTGGCGATGGGTGCGTCATCGGCGAAGGCGCCCTCGTTGAGACGCACGGCGTGCTCGAGGCTGGCTCCGTGCTTCCGGCCGGCGGGCTGGTCCCACGTGGCGAGGCGAGAGGCCGCCGAGATGCGGCCGAGAGGCGGCCGAGATGCCGCCAAGATGCCGCCGAGAGGCGGCCGAGAGGCGGCAGAGAGGCGGCAGAGAGGCAGCCGAGAGGTGGCCGAGAGGTGGCCGAGAGGCGGCCGAGAGGCGGCCGAGAGGCGGCCGAGGTGTGGCCGAGAGGCAGCCGAGAGGTGGCCGAGAGGTGGCCGAGAGGTGGCCGAGAGGTGGCCGAGAGGCAGCCGAGAGGCAGCCGAGAGGCAGCCGAGAGGTGGCGGTGGAGTGGCCGAGATCGGCGGGCTGGTCCCGCGTGGGGGAGGCGAGACACTTCCTCGAACCGTCCTTGACCTGAGTCCGAACGCCTCCCCCCCCCCCCCTCTCCCCTCCCCCCCCGGCCTGCAGGTGCATGGCGGCAACCCGGCCGCCTTCGTGCGCAAGCTCGAGAAGGACGAGATCGCGGCCATCGAGAAGAAGGCCGAGGACGTGTCGATGAGCGCCAAGAAGCACGCCGACGAGTTCCTCGCCTACTCGAACACCTACCAGCTCCGCGAGCAGCTGGGCACGGCCGCCGGCAAGATCTAGCCGCAGCTCGTGGCCCACCTCGCATCAACGCTGCCGGCTTTGGGGCGCCGCCAACGGCTAGATCTTGCTGGGCACAGCCTTCTCTCCCCCCTTGGCGCCCTTGGCGGCGCGCCCCACCGCTGCCCGACCCAGTCGCCGCATGTGGAGCGGTGCCCGCTCTTGCGCGCCGCACGACCGGCGCGGGCGCACGCGCCGTCTTCGTCTCTGTCGTCGGTTTTGGTATACAGCCTGGTTGCGGGGCGGTAGGGCACGGGCGGCCGATGCGGCGGCTAACCCTGCCCTGCGGTGCGTGTTGGCCGCGCTTCGGCGCAAAGACCGGCGATAAATCTATTAGCTTTTAGCGGGACGTAGCGCTCCGGGTACTCTAATCGACCCGCAGTTGCCGGGGCTCCACACAGACACACACCATACTCCACAGCGCCTCCCCACACAGCACACAGCCACACACACTCCACACACGCATCTCTCTGTGCGCGTATAACGTACACGTGCGCAGTCTCTCGGTGGCTCTGCAAACTGAGACTCTCTGGCTCCGCCCTCCGCGATCATGCGTCTCGCAGTGGCGGCGTTTGTCGGCGTGTGGCTGAGGAAGACGGTCGGTAGGCTTCGACCTCAGGCCTGTTCTGCCAGCATTGGCATTGCGATACTTCCCCACCCCCGCCCCCACCCAGTGGGACTCCCGTGCCTCGCGTCACGCACCTCACTGCCGGGACGCCGCTAGCAGCCATTCGCCACCGCTCAAAATCGTCCCATCAGCCCTTTGCATCCTGAACGTACTCTGTGCTTGTCGTCTCATGCACGTCGCCGCTGCGGAGGGAGGTGGCGCGAACGCTGCGGTTTGGCCGGCGGGATGCACCTCCGTGCGCGTGCTCGACCTCCGGCACGCGGTACGCCGTGGCGCAGCCCGGCACGCGCAGGAGCTTGTAGCGGGGCTGTTCGAAGGGCATATTTTTCTCGACCTTCGACCTGTGTGCCCAGCGCGGGCGCCAGCGAGGCCGCGGGAAAAGAATTTTCAGTGCGTAGCTCTTACGTACATATATTTTGGAAGCGAATCCGCGTGTCGACAGGCGCGCACTTGCCCAAGGGTCTTCTTAAAATCCCTGTGTGGTGGCGGCGTGCCGTCCTCCCCTCCCTCCCTTGGGTTGTCTGTTTTCTTTCTTTCTTTCTGCCCAAGGGTGGGCGACGGCTAGCGCACCACACCCCTCTTCTTAAAATCCCTGTGTGGTGGCGGCGTGCCGTCCTCCCATCCCTCCCTAGGATTGCCTGTTTTCTTTCTTTCTTTTGCACTAACACCCATCGTCCCTCCCTTGGGTTGTCCGTTTTCTTTCTTTCTGGCACTAACACAGGTACACCACGGGAAAAGAATTGGGGCACCACCCCCCTCTTTTTCGGCGGGGGTAGGTGTAAGATACATATACAACGAAAACAGTGAGGCCGCTCCCAACTGTGCCGCACGCACCCCAAGCCTACTAAACAGTGCCACGCTCCATTCCGAGGAGGCTAGTCTACGACACGGCGCGCCACTACTGCAACTTCATCGCCTGGAGGCTCAAAGGGCATCCGTTTCCTTCTTGGCATAGGTGAAACTCTGAGGCTTGTCGTCGAATGTGGCGTACGGCGAGTCGCCTTTGAACCTGTCATCAAAGAGCCAATTTTCGGCTCTCGCCATCTGCACCAACCCGCCGTCGTACGCCTTCACGACAGGTGTGTCGATGAACTTGCTGAGCCATTCCGGGGCATCGCCTTCCGCCATGGACAGTGCCCCCTCGAAGCTTTTCCCGCTCGACGTCCCATCGGCACCAGTTCGGAGGGGCCGGGGAGCTAAGAAGCGCACCCAGCGGGCCGGATGATTGGCATCGGGTTGCGGGCAAGAGAGCCCTAGCCCAGGGGGTGCGCGTTCGCGGGGAAAGGGCCGTAAAGTAAACACGGGTCTCCGAGAGGCCCCGTGTACCGGGTTTCCCCTTACTTAACTGCAGAACGCCCCCTCTACTCGGAGCTAGGGTCTCCGAGGGTTAGCTCTGCGCTCCGGGTTTCCCCCAGCGGCGGAATTTTTCCCTCGCGCTGTGGGCCCCCCTAGCTGCGGAACGCCCCCTCTACTCGGCTGGCCGGGGGTTTATTTAGTGGCCCTAGTGATCGGAGCATGAAGCCAGCCCGCGTGGCGTGGCTGCGGCGGCCCCCCGCCGGGGTATGGGTCACAGTGCCATAAAATTCAATCAGAGATCGATGGGAGGAGGACAGGTCCCCGAAAAATTACGAGAAAAAGAAAGCGAGAGCGATATGCCATGTCCGCCTTGCGTTGTTTCATAACATCGAAGGCTAAGCTCAAAAGAAAGAAAAAATCGGTGGCACGGCCGGAGGACGGCATTCCGCCCCCTCGCCAGACACGCCGCCGCCCGCCCGCCTCCTCGACCTCCCCACGGAGCTCCTCGTGCGCGTCGTCTCTCGCTGCGACCCCCTCGACATCGCTCGCGCCGCGGCCGTCTCGCTGCTCTTCCACGCCTCGCTTGCGCTGGAGGGCATCCGCTTGTGGGCGCGAGAGCGCGGCTTCGAGCTGCTGGCGCTACCAGAGGGCGAGAGCTGCGCCGTGCGGTGGCTGTGCTATTCTGCGCTGCTGCGCGAGTCCAACCGCCGGCGAGGGCGTCGGCAGGCAATCGGCACAGCCTCTTCATCGACGGCGAGGGGCGGCTCTGGTCGTGCGGCAATGCGCCGTCCTACTCTCCAGCCCTGCTCGGCCACGGCGAGGGCGTGCCGCGGCTCAACAAGCCGACCCTCCTCCCATCGACGCTGGGCGGCGAGCGTGCCGTGAGCGCGTCGGTTGGAAACGCGCACAGCCTCGCCCTTACCGCCGATGGCAGTGTCTGGAGCTGGGGCGATGGTGAATATGGCAAGCTGGGCCACGGCGTCGGGCTGAACGAGTGGCAGCCTAAGAAGATTGAGGCCTTGGCTGGCCAGCGCGTCGTCGCTGTGTCGGCTGGAGCATGCCACAGCCTTGCCATCACCGCCGACGGCTCTGGCTGGAGCTGGGGCCGCGGAGGCGTGGGCCAGTTGGGCCACGGCGATGAGCAGATCCAGTGGCAGCCTAAGAAGATTGAGGCCTTCCAGCAGTGCGTCATCACTGTGTCTGCTGGATTCTACAACAGCCTCGCTCTCTCCGCCGACGGCGCCGTCTGGAGCTGGGGCGATGGAGGCTCTGGCCGGTTGGGCCACGGCAACGAGCAGCGCCAGCTGCTGCCGAAGAAGATCGAGGCCTTTGCTAACCAGCTTGTCGTCGCTTTGGCGGCTGGCGCCGCACACAGCCTCGCCCTCACCGCCGACGGCGCCCTCTGGAGCTGGGGCGGTGGAGGCTTAGGCAAGCTGGGCCACGGCGACACGCGGACCCAGCTGCTGCCCAAGAAAATCGAGGCCTTTGCAGGGCGGCGCGTCGTCGCTGTATCGGCAGGAGGCAACCACAGTCTCGCTGTCACCGCCGACGGCGCTGTCTGGAGCTGGGGCTTTGAAGGCTCAGGCGAGCTGGGCCACGGCGACCAGCAGCGCCAGCTGCTGCCCAAGAAGATCGAGGCCTTTGCTGACCAGCGCGTTGTCGCTGTGTCGGCTTGAGCGTACCACAGCCTCGCCCTCACCGCCGACGGCGCCCTCTGGAGCTGGGGCGATGGAGACTATGGCACGTTGGGCCACGGCGACGAGCAGCAGCAGCTGCTGCCGAAAAAGATCGAGGCCTTTGCTGGGCAGCGCGTTCTCGCTGTGTTGGCTAGAGGCGGGAACAGCATCGCCCTCACCGCCGACGGCGCCGTCCGACGTGACTCACCCGTGCAGATCACATCAGGACACGGTCTCGACACGCTCGGTACGACGCCTGCGACCCATCTTGGGTCAGGTGGCACGACGCTCATCGCGCCTACCAGCGCTGCCGTGCAGGTTGCCACGACGAGGTCGAGCACGCTTCTATACGCTCGCCCAGCCTTCCTTTCCATCCCATTAGGCAGCCTGGGAACGGTGGCGGTCAGAGGCAAAGCCTGCGAGGGGTGGTGGAACCACATGTCATGGCTACCGCCGGCTCGACCCCACGATAGCCTCCGGAGGCTGACTTTGAGGCACAATCATCGGACGACGTCGGCGAGTTGAGTCGCGCTCGCGGTAGCCAGATGACCTCTCATACTAGTATCATCGGCCATGGCCGCAGGAAGCGCGGGGGATTCCGCTGGGAGCAACACGGAGCTCCGTTGGATGCGTTTTCAAGATTAGCGTGTCAGAGTGAATTGGAACTAGCCAAAACAGACATGAGACAACCCAAACGCGAGGCCGGGATAGGGGAGGAGCAGGAGGACAGGGTCCCCACCTGCACGAGCAGGATTTTGGAAGGACGATCAGGGGGACAGCGAGGTGGGGCTCTCCTGCTCCTGGCAAGGGACACGACACTCAGGCCGTCACAGCGCGGTGCACGGTGGACTCCCAACTCCACTCTCTGGCGGTCTCATCTCAGTCTAGAGCGACCTGCCTCCGGCTTCTCACCGGCAGTCTCTCACTACCACGGGCACACTGACAGAGGCGGCCAAAAGGCTCACGCCGTGGGTGGCAGGGGCGGTGATAGGAGTCTCCCACTGTGGGCTTCGCCAGAGGTGCGGCTGCGCATGTCCCCTCGCCCTTGAGGTCTTAAAGGGGAAGGCGAAGGGGCTGTGTGTCGCTGTCCGCCCGAGCGTGACTCGCAACTCCGCGATTTGCCGTCCACGGACGAAGCGGCTCCCCCCACCAAAGTTGAATCCATTCCTTAGATACATACATACCTGGAAAAACCCGGTATACCCGGTAATACCGCACTTTTGCATGCTTTCGCCCCCGGGACCACACACACAGCCGCTACACTAACTAATCAAAACCCCCGCATACCACTTTCGCATACCACTATACCATACCACTCCAAAACTAATCAAAATATCACCAAATACCAGTCTCATACCGGTAAATATTGAGCACTGCGCCTTCACACCGGACACGACCCCCCTCTTCACTAAGCAATGCGCTGCCTGGGCGAGGAGGGCGGCAATTGCGGCCGTCGTTGCATTGGGCGGCCTGCGGCCGCCAGCCGGCTAGCGGGCTAGGCAGCCGGTGCGGCTGCAGCCGCGGGAGCGGCCGCGGCCTCTCGATGACATTGCCTTCCGCCTCGAGCATAATCGCTGGGAGAGTCACCTGGCAACGTTCTATGACCTATGTAATCCATGATGGGACTGTCCCAGCTCGCTACTGCCTTCTTCAGAAGAGGCAAATGATTCGGCGGATTCCGGATACAACTGTAGCTGCAGGTGCAACCTGCGACGAGACCATTTCGGTATATGGTTGGTTGGTTGGGCGTGGCGCGCGAACGGAACTGAGATGGGGTCCCCACAGAGGCCTAGAGCATACCTTGATACCCCCTCGAGAAGGATACGATGATACTATACCAAGCTGAAGTACCGAATCCTGCCAGGGTTCCGGCTCCTACCCAGATTGGGGGTGCCTGCTGACCCCGGTTAGACCCTATGCAATAGGTAGGTAGGTCCGGTTTTGACCGCCCCAGAGGGCCCCGCAATAGGTAGGTAGGTAGGTAGGTAGGTAGGTGGTGGTGGTGGGTGGGTGGGGGGGGGAAGGGGGTGAAAAAACCGCTTCGCTCGCGCGGGAGACGGCGCGTTTAGCCGCGAACGGGGCCATGCCAGACGAGTCGCCTGCGGCTGGGACGCCAGCCGAGACGGGTGCGGCGGCGGCGCCCGCGGTGGCGGATCACTGTCGAGCCCATCTCCTGGTGCGTCAGCCAAACCCATTGCCCAACATCCTCGTTGCTGTCAAACGCCCCGTGGTGCCTGAGCACGCCGGTAGGCGCCGAGCCAGAGTGCCGAATCGCCACCCCGTCATGGCACGGCGTGAGCTGCGCCTGATTGCGTGAGACGCAAATCGGAAGGGCGCCGAAGTGGCCTTCTCGCGCGGGCGGCGACCGAGCTTGTAGGTGGGAGGGTCCGTGCCCTCGACTCTGTCGAGGGAAGAGAGTGCCGTTTTGGAGCCGTCCAACGCCTCGGGAGCCCAGTAGGCCATGCTCTGGCGGGCTCGCGAGCGGCGCGCACCGCGGTACAAGCTGGCGCGCGGCTGGGAGCCTATTCACAGAGGGCGAACGGGTATTTTTTCGCTTCGCTGCGCGGCCTGGGAATAGGTAGGTAGGTGGGGCACGGAGCCTGGCGATTGGCGCCCGCAATAGGTAGGTAGGTAGGAAGGGCGTTTTGGTGCGAGTCAGGGTCGACAGACCCCCTATCTGGGTAGGAGCCGGGGCAGTCGGAGAAGGGGCAACTCCGTGCACTGACGGTCGGCCGCCAGAAAACACGCCTGCGTGGATCGCGTCACACCATCCTGGCTACCCAACGCGGCCAAGGTAGGTAGGTATGCGGCCAAAGGACATCGTGTGTGTGAGTGAGTATTCTTGACACACACACACACACACACACACACACACACACACACACACACACACACAAAGGTAGGTAGGTAGAAAGGTGAAGAACAGCCAGGCTCGGACTGGACACCAACGCGGTATGATTTGCCAACAACATACCTAAAACATAAAAAAAACGCGGTATGGGTGGACGCTAGACAGATGATGACGACACGCACGAGCGACACACAGACACAAACAAGCTCACAAGACACACAGCCAGCGGGCTGCCACACACCCTGAGTTGGCGTACAAAAAGGACATCGATCGAGAACCGCGAGAGGTAGGAGCCGGAACCCAGGGCCTGGCGATACGGGAGCAAGTGCCTCGCAGGAGTCGCTTAGGCGGCTCCCGTGATGTACAAGTGCCAGTGCGCGGTGTTGTCGGCAGGCCATGCCGAACCGGGTTGCCGCGCTTGTCGCTCTCACCGCAGCCGCCCTACTCCAGACGCGTCCGCCCGCCCACAGCTTCCGTGCAGAGGTGGATTATCTGCGGCAAGCGAAGCGTGAGCTGGCTGCAGGCCGCCGGCCAACTCCACGGAAATCAAACGAGGAGGTCGACGAGATGGGCGGCATTGGCGCAGTGCACCGGTGGCCCGACGGCTCGTGGGCCGCAGACGCGGCCCTCGTCAGCGTTGGCTGCACGCGCAAGGGGTGCCTCCTCGGCGTGTTCGGCCACTGGTGGCGCCTGGCCACCTGGCCTGCCGAGTGGGACCTCGGCGCGATCGGCGCGGTGCACACGTACGCTGCGCTGTGCGGCAGCGACGTCTACTACCGCCACTTCGCGCCGCGAGCGAGGCTGCGACACACCACCCCTCCCGTCCCTCCTCCTCCTCTCCGTCACATCAGCAGCCCAGCTATTCCGCCGCCGCCAGAGCACCGACGGACACGGCCACCGCGCTGCCGCCACCGCCTTCCCCTCCTCTGCCCTTGCAGGTTGCCGCACACGCTGCTACTCGGTGCCTTTGCGACTCGCTCTGTGTTTGAGCTGCTGTGGGTGGGGAGCACGCTACACGCGCTCGGCAGGCCTCTGCAGGCGAGATATAGCCGAGGTGTAGCCGACGTGTAGCCGAGGTATAGCCGAGGCAAAGCCGAGATAACAGACGCCACCTTACCGCGCCCGGAGACGGTCGCCTTGACGCCCCTCGCCTTGCTGCAGGCCGCATTGGGCCGCGTCGGCTTTGCAGCTCTCTATGTCGGCGCGGGTGAGGCGACAGCCGCGTCGCGGTCGAATGAGGAGAGAGCCAGAGAGGAGCTGAGACACAGCCCAACTCGGCCAGGCGTCGCCGCTTCGCTCGTCTGCATGTTGGCGCGGCGGAGCTCCAGCGGTCACGGCGGCTTGCTCGGCGTTTGCGCCTATTACGCGCTGCTGCTGCCCCGCGCGCGGCAGAGCATCATGGGGGTTGAGGCGAGATCTAGCCGAGATCAGCCGAGATTACCGCTCGCCCTCTCGCTCTCGCGGCCTCTGCCAGGTTGGATGCCCTCGCCCCCTCTCCACTCGCGTTGCCCATACCGCAGATGGGCTCGAAGCCCGCGCTCGCCGCGCAGATCGCCATCGCGTCGCAGGGCGCCTTCCAGGGGGATCGGCCTCTGCCGATCCTCGCGGCGAACCTCGCGCCTTGCCTCGTCGCCGCCGCCGCTTTCGCAGCGCACGCTCGCCGCAGCTTTCTCACCAGTTGAAACAGTTGTTATTTTTCTCGGCGCATGGCCCGCCGGGAGAGACCCCACCACGACCACCACCACGCATCCCCCCGCACACCAGCAGCGAGCAGGGGCGCAACCCCAACCGCGCGCCCGGCCCCGCGCGTGGCGCGCGGGGCGCGGGTGGTCGCACTGGTCGACTCTGTGGTACACGTCCTCTCCCGCACTGACCAACGCCAGGCAACCGCGACCAACGCGAGCACAAAAGGCAAAGCAAAGGCAGCGAGAGTACAATACAGAATACTCAGTAGGATGCCTGGATGGACAGGTTTACTTGCGGCAGGCGCGTGCGCGTGCGCATCGCAGCTCCTCTCCCCTCCAAAGCATCGCCGGGCCTCTGCTGCCATACCCGCCGCCCAGGTCTGGCAGATCCCAGCTGAAATCCCGCCTGCTGATCGTATACCCTGCCGTCCCAGCACCTAATGAACGGCCGCCGCTTCGCATCACCGAGGGGCTGTAGTGAGCGGGCCCAGGGCGTTGGTGAAGCTCTTTCATTCGAAGTGTCTCCTCGTTGAAGCCGTCGCCGCCTGCAAGCGCCGGAGGGTGCGGCTCAGTCCACAGCAGGCCCGCTGCACGTGCGTGCAAAGGAACCGCACCAAAGCTCTTGCCCACCGCCCTCGGTCTCATTGGGCTGTATTCTCCAGGGCCCGGGTTTCGGTTCGGCGGAGGCAAGAGAGGCAGGCCAATGCTGCTACTCCGCCCGCTCCACAACCCGCGGCCCGAGCGCAGCGTCGATGGGCTGTAGTCACAAGGACTTGGCCGTCCGGTGCGTTCTTTGAGCAGCGCCCTTGACTGGTCAAAGCCGTCGCCGTGGAACGCCTTGGCTCTATCGCCGAGCATGAGTGTGGAGTCGTTGACGCCACGCTGGTAGGCGCCTGGCCCTGGAGGTGGAAGGAAGGACCTCGCGGAGTACATGCTGTAGGCGGTGCTGCGCTGCGAAGCTGGTGGCATGTGCGCGGCGACAGGAGCGCGCAAATGTTGTTTCACCGGGACCAAGACTGATGATTTCTGTGTACGTACGTTTTAGCTACGTTTTAGCTTTATACTGGGAGAAAAGAGAGAGGGGGTTGTGTTCTCTAGGCCCCTAAGGGCCCTACGCGCGGCGTGAGAGCTCGGAAGCGAGCTTTGCACGGCGATCGAGGATGGCACGGTTCACCCCCTTCACCGATGCCTTCGAGCGACCGCTTCGCCACTGTGTACATGAGTTCGGCCGGCGCCCTCGCTGCCGACGCGACGGAGGCGGCGAGGCTCGATTGGTGCAGGCTCGCGGCGGCCGCTCCCGCGGACGGCGCCGCAGGCCGTGAAGAGCGGCTCGAGCAGATGCGTGTCCTCTCGCACCAAGACCCGTCCGAGGCGGTGCGGCACGCGGCGCAGCAGGCCCACATCGCTCTCGCGAGCCTGCAGGCGCACATCCCTGCATGGGGCTCGCCACCCGGCAGCAGCGCATCTCCCGGCTACGGCGGCCAAGCCCGCGCAGCGGCCGACTGCTCGCCCTGCGCGGTCGGCCGGCAGGGCGGAGGGCCGGGCCGCGGCGCTGTCGACGCCTTCGCTCTCCGCGGGCGCCGCGGCGCGCTCGACCTGCTCCAGGGCGACGCCGTCGGCAACAACCCCCGCCTCTCCGGCTCTGGCGCAGGCTACCATCAAGAGTTTGATGTGCCGCAGGATGCGACGGCCCTCACGCCGCCAGCGCCAGGAGGAGGCGCCGAGGCGGCACCGGCCGCAGCACTGGCACCGGCCGCAGCTCTGAATGCGGCACCGCCTTCCTCTCCGTGGGCGGCAGCGGCGGAGCCATCGCCTTCTTCCGCCACCGCCGCAGCGGCCGCCTCGTCGCCCGCGCTTCATGCTGGCTGGCGGGAGGCGGTCGACGCGGCGAGCGGGCGGATGTACTTTCTCCACGCCGCGACCGGACGGACGCAGTGGGACAGGCCTCCCGAGATGGGGCCAGACCCCTCTCTGCGCGCGCCCTCCTCCTGTGCGCCAACCTGCGGCGCTGGCGGCCCGGCGGCGGCGGCGGCGGCCGCAGCGGCCGCGGGGACGGGTGCGGCGGCGGGTGCGGCGGCGCTCCGCAGCGGAGGCCGAGGCGGAGGGCGGGGCGAAGGCGGAGGGCGGGGCGGAGGCGGAGGGCGGGGCGAGAAGCGGCTGTACGACGCGCTCGCCGCGCTGCGGACCGAGATCGGCAGAGAGGAGAAGAAGCAGCCATACCTCATCTTCTCGAACAAGGTGCTCGAGGGCATCGCGCAGAAGCGGCCGAGGACGCTCGGCGCCCTGCGCGGCGTCTCCGGGATCGGGCCGCAAAAGGCGCAAGAGTACGGCGTGCGGGTGCTCGACGTGGTTGCGAGCCTGGACGGAGGAGGGGGAGGAGGAGGCGGGGTGGGAGGAGGAGGAGGAGGCGGCGATGGCGGCGGAGGCGGAGTGACGCACTACGACCAGGCGGGCGGGCACGCGACCATCGAGTCGCTCTTTGCCAAGCCGCCGCCGCCAAAGAGCGAGGAGGCGCCGCTCAACGCCGAGCAGCAGCGAGCCCTCGACGCGGCGCTGCGAGGGCAGTCCATCTTTCTGACGGGCGGCGCCGGCGTGGGCAAGTCCTTCACGCTGCACCGGGTGGTGGCTCAGCTGCGCGAGGCCAAGGGCAACGAGGCCGTGTGTGTCTGCGCGTCGACAGGCATCGCCGCCTGCCACATCGGAGGGACGACGCTGCACTCTTTCGCGGGGGTCGGCCTCGGCAAGGAGTCGGCCTCCAACCTCGCCGGCCGCGTGCTCGCCAACAAGGCGGCCCAGCGGCGGTGGGAGAGCTGCGAGGTCCTCGTGATCGACGAGGTGTCGATGATCGACGGCAACTTCTTCGACAAGCTGGAGGCGATCGCGCGCGAGGTCTTCGCGTCCTCGCGGCGGCGCGACGTCCTCGCGCGGGCCGACCGCCCGTTTGGCGGCATCCAGCTGGTCCTGTGCGGGGACTTCTTCCAGCTGCCTCCAGTCGGGATGAGCTCGGGCAACGAGCGCTTCCTCTTCGAGGCGCGCTGCTTCGAGCGGGTGCTCGACCAAGTGGTTGTGCTGACGGAGGTCTTCCGCCAAAAGGACAACTCCTTCGTGACGCTGCTCAACGAGATGCGGCGTGGAAACCTCTCGCCCTTCCACACGGCGCTGCTCACGCGCCTCGCGCACAACTCGCGCTGCCGCCCGCCGCACCAGCCGCGCCACCCGCAGCAGCGGCAGGCATCGCCGCTGCCACCGCAGCAGCAGCAGCAGCAGCAGCAGCAGCAGCAGCAGCAGCAGCAGCAGCAGCAGCAGCAGCAGCAGCAGCAGCAGCAGCAGCAGCAGCAGCAGCAGCAGCAGCAGCAGTCGAAGCCTCCGTCACAGCAGCCATCGCCGCCTCCGTCGCAGCAGCCGTCGCCGCAGCGGCCGCAGCCGCGCCCGTCGCCGTCGCAGCTGTCGCATCCGCAGGGCGCCGAGACGCACTCGCCCGCCACCGAGCCAACCCCCGTCAACGGAGGAGGCGTCGGAGGCGTCGGAGGCGGCGGCGGCGGCGTTGGCGGTGGCGGCGCTGGCGGTGGCGGCGCTGGCGGCGGCGTGTGCGCGCCCGCAGCGAGTGGGTCGCCCCACCCACCCGCCGCTCCACCCGCCGCTCCACCCGCCGCTCCACCCGCCGCTCCACCCGCCGCTCCACCCGCCGCTCCACCCGCCGCTCCACCCGCCGCTCCACCCGCCGCCGAGACGGCCGTGCGGGGCGTCAGTGCAGGCGCCGCCCCGTGCAGCCTCTCGAGAGGAGTCGGTGGTGGAAGGACTTCGTTGAGGAGTGCGACCCATGGCCGAATAGGCGCCTCTGGCCACAGCCCGCACGGCGACGCCGCGGCACTCGCCGCGGGGACATGGACGCGTCACGGGCCTGTGCAAGGGGCGTCCCAAGGAGCTGCCCCCGCCGCGTCGGCCGAGGCCGAGCCGCGGCCCTCCCGCCCCTGCGCGGCCTTTCTGGTGATGGGGCGTGGACGGCTGCTCCCCCCCCCCCCGGTAGGCCGAGCCGCAGCCGACCCGTCTCTTCGCCCTCAACGAGCAGGCGGACGCCGAGTCTGACTGGCAGTCGTGACTCGGCAGCTGGTCCTCCTTCATCCGAACTCATCGAGCAGGCGGACGCCGAGAACGCGCGGCAGCTCGCTGCCCTCGGAGCGGCGGCCGGCCGCACGTACACGTGTGTGGCGGCCCTTCCGACATGCGTCCAGACACACACACGCTCTGCTCTGCTCGCGCCGCCACCGGCCGCCGACACCATCGGCTGACATGCACATGGCATCACTGACGCGTCCTCGGACACGGCCATGGCATCACTGACGCGTCCATGCACGCGGCCATGGCACCGCCCGCCGCCACCCATGGCATCGCCCGCCGCCACGGCGCCGTGCTGCGGTAGGTACGTGGCCAACGACACGGGCCGGCCGGCGCAGCTCAAGCAGCTCAGGGACGGGTGCATCGTCCCCACCGACCTCGAGCTGAAGCCCGGCGCCCTCGTCATGCTCTGCAAGAACATCGACCAGGCCGCCACGCCCGGCCCGCCAGGGGGGGGTCTAATCTCGGGCGAAATCTCGGGTAAACCTCGCGCGAAATCTCGCGCGATCTCGCGCGATCTCGACCAGGCCAAGCGGCTCGTCAACGGCTCGCGCGGCCGCATCGTCGGCCACTCCCCCCCTAGATGCCACGAGCACCATCAGTGACGCTAGCTGCTGATGACACGCCAGGGACCCAGACACGCTTCCGCTCTCTGCGGGTCTCCCCTTGCTCTCCTCTCTAGGTCCTGACCAGTCTCCCCGTGTGATCCAGCCACCGCCCCGAAGAGAGACGCGGGCCCAGCCGTGCTCCAGCCGTGCTCCAGCCGTGCTCCAGCCGTGCTCCAGCCGTGCTCCAGCCGTACCCCCCTTCCCCCGCCCACCCCCCGCCCCCGCCCGCCTCCTCCCGCCCATTCCAGCTTTCTAGCCAGCGGACCTCGGCAAACCTCGGCGAATCTCGACGAATCTCCTCCGCCCGCCCCCCCCCCCCTCCCAGGCTTCCAGCCGGCGCGGGTCCAGCCAAACTCCGACGTCGCCGCGGCGCCGCTCGAGGCCCTCTCCCGCGCCTTGCGGTGCCCGCCGAGCTGTCGACGTGAGCTGGACCTGTTCACACGCCGTCCCCCAACCGTGAACAGGCCCTCTCCGCCGCGCCGTCGGTAGAGTTCGAGGAGGCGGCGCCGCGGCGGCGGCCGCAGCGGCTCTACCCGCTCGTGCACTTCGAGGACGTCGGGCCGTACCTCGTCACCCCGCAGGAGAGTAGCCGAGATGCCCGAGATGGCCGAGATAT